TTATTTGATATTTTTTTACGGATAAGGTATTTATGAATGGGAATAAATATGTGCTCGGTCGGTATTTATCACTCTGTTTAATACCGCTTAGAGTCTGGGTGTTGATAATTACCCTCGCCTCCGGCTCGGGTAATTATCAGCACCCAGACTCTAAGCGGTATTAAACGAGTGATAAAAACCTCCGGAGCACACATTTATTCCCTTAATAAAAACCTTTTATTTAATTAAATGAAGATTATGAAGTGGAGGTGTTTCTTACTACCATGATCACGTTCGAGCGGCGACTGACTATTTGACAACCACTAGTCATTTTTCCATGGTAACCTATGCACAAAATACATATTGGGTACCAGGCAAAATCGAGTACGCGGTTGACAAATAGTCGCCGCGCGTAGCGAATTCGCATATACATGTATGTACGTACATGCATCATGATGTACACATATATCTGCGTTAACGTTAGACTCGATTGCCAGAAACCAGCTTCACACTAGACTTGATTTCAAGTCTGATATCGCGGCTTTTTACCCGTTGCGCCGCGCAATATTTTGCAAACATTTACTTAATACACTACAACATAGCTAGCTGCATTCCTTGCCGCACGATTCACGGTATCTCTCTCAATTCGCCATCGAAGCTTAGCCCGGGAAAGCTGGAATAATGGAGACTCCTCCTGAGAGAAAAGGAGACTTTCTGAGCAGAAATACATTTACCTTCCGGAGTATACAACTGAGCGACCTGTAATCGTGCGATCTAAGCTTGACAGTTTCCATGCATTGTCTGTTTGTTCGTCACAACATTGCCTGAAAATGAGCTAGGTAGAATAAATAACATAGAGTAACGATTAGGGTTTTGGAAAGCCTAGGTATCCCTTGACCTAAGCGATGGAGGCACATATGCTGGGGGGGGGGGGGGAGGAATTATGGGGTATAGCTCCATGGTTCAAACAAACCCTGGGAAGATTACCATACGCGGACAATGCTTATTATTCCTATAGGCTATAGTGACCTACATTGTACAGCCATGAAATTCAATGACAAGTCCTAAAAAAGTCGAATTTAGCATTGAGAAAAACGAAGCATTTACTTAGACTGTTAGAAAACAGAATTTTTCAGACTAGTCTTGTAGGGTTTGTGCACAGGGTGTTGTAATGAGTTCCACTCGGAAGTAAAAAAAAATCACTTGTGAAATGTGATGACACACCCCCTCAAAAATCTTGCCTCATATAAACACAAGCAAATTTGATTAAATGCCTCAGATTTCACCACAGAGCAACTGGAGTCCTAAATTTTTCGGGGCCCTTGAGCGGGCCCCGGACCCCACACCGTAAAGGCTTCGCGCTTCACGCTCGCAGATAAAAATTTCCACTTGCTACTCTTTTTAGAAATTCAATGTTGGCATCTCTGAGAAAGGGGCCTCCATTCCTCACCCAACCAACTCACCAATGGCCAGTGAGTCCTTTGAATGATTGCCCTGACAATCCTACGGAGTTGAAGAAGTCGACGTTCTGCGGAGCTGTGATTGTTCCAGAACCACAGCTGGCAGACATTGAGCAGGGCAATGGCTGGGACAGTCTGATCAAGACAACCAAACAGTTCCTTGATGGGGCGGCCCCGACCAATGACTCCACCGATGACAGTCGAGGAAAGAGAGACCATCGAAAACCAACTCTACCGCCACGTCCAGCAGGATTGCTTCCCACAGGAGGTCCAGGCTGTGAAGTCAGGAAGAGAGCTACCTTCAGGAAGCTCGATCCGGAGTATGACAAAGCTTCAGGACTTCCCTGTGTTGGAGGGTGATTGCGACGGGAAGAAGACCTCGCATACAACGTCAATTGTTCTTGATCCAAGTCACCACATCACCAAGCTACTCATCCAAGACTATGATGACAAACTCCTGCACTGTGGCCCTGAACGCGTCTTTGCTGAAGTTCGACGGATGTTCTGGATCCTACGTGGCCGTGAGGCTATCTGCCGTCACCAGCGTCAGTGCTTCAAATGCTGCAAATGGCGTTCCAAACCAGAAATACCCAAGATGGCCGACCTGCCTCTGGCCCGACTCCGAATCTTCAAGCCAGTGTTTTACTCAACTGGAGTAGACTGTTTAGGCCCCATGACCATGAAGATAGGCCGCCAAACTGAGAAGTGATGGGGAGTCATATTCAAGTGTATGACAACACGAGCGGTGCACTTGGACCTGTTGGACAGCATGGATGCTGATGCATTCCCCATGGCCTTCAGACGCTTTATATCCCGACGAGGGAAGCCCTACAAACTTCTTTCAGACTGCGGCACTAACTTCAAAGGAGCCTCGCCTCATTGCAGTAGGTACTTTTTTTTTAGTAAACTTATAAGTGGTTTATATTCCTTTATTTTGCAGAACCACAGACACAAAGGTACACACAGGCATTCCCGCTGAACCGTACATATTCCTGATTGTACCGCAAGCTCTCCTGCTGTAATTTCACCTGTAATCTCACCTGCAATCATCCACCCAAGTATTGTATTCCTGCATGATTTGATCTAAGTACACAAACAACAGTCTGACTGCTGTCCATTTGTTACTGTGTGTAACCTTCGATCCAACCGCCTTCCCTTTCCGGTGTACCCCTACACTATTTCACAGTCAGTGTTCCCCTGAATAATCAAGTCCTACCGGTACCTCTCCCAGGGCACAGGTCTTTGCGTGATCCAGCAAAAATCGGATCACTCGATCTGTATCCGTGGTGAGCTTGCTTAGGGTGGAAAACCGTTCCAGCGACAAAATGGTTTTTGACCAACTCTGCCCAACGCTTCTCGTCAGTAAGGGTACCTTCGCCACAGAAATTGGCTATGCAACCCTGGAAGTCAAGGTAAACAATGTGGTTCTCCATTGAATGGACAATGACGTGGTTCCACAATTCCTAGACCTCTGTGCACAAATAAGTTGCTTGCCAAACTTTTCTTGTGGTTGGTGTTAAAACTCCTCAAAGCAGATAAAATATAGCATCAAAAGCATGTGAATGTAATAGTTTTCAGAATGCAAGCATGTACATGTAATAGTTGTCAGAGAAGCCATCGAGATCATCAAGGATAACACTGTTCCCCAAGACATCGGTTTCTACATTGGCGACATCTGGCGCCCCATCCTCAAGTCCAAGTCCGATGGGTCTCCGGACTTGGACTTGAGGACAACTTAGGTTCAGTTCTCGCCTATGGGTCACCTTTACCCTGAGCTTCTTCCCCTTTGCCCCCTCACTGTGTACTGACACGCTCCAGTGATCATCCAGCATCCTTCAGTCAACTTGCATCCTTCTCAGCTTCGCCGGTTTCGAGCTTCAGCAGTTTGCATCCTTCTCACGCCTCACCGCACCCATCCTTATAACATCGCATCATCTTTGGAATCCCTCATTCTCCTGACGGGCAGAGCATACTGTTTGAAATGTTGAGTCCCTCCGGTTCTTTTCAGAACCACACATTACAAAAGAGATTTATTCACATGGTGCTACCGCAAACTTATCTTGTCTTAGAATCCAGTGTAATCCCTTAGCTGTAACATACATGCATAAACTCCTTTTGGCATTGGGAGTAAGGAATGTAGACAGTGTATTCGCACTATACACCAGTAACTAGCACTAGCTTTCTAGGACAGATGCACTGCCTGCATGTGATGAATGGAACAGAAGATGTGCACCCATCCGAAGGGTTAACTATAGGATCTTGTCATGATGAAAGCACAGGGCCAGGCAAAGTTGAATAGATTTGTACATGTACAAATTTACACTGATTCACAAATGTGGAGATTGTGGAAAATCAGGTGTGTTATTTGCATTTATTATTGTTGTTTTAAGAAATAGGTTAAGTCGGCGAATAGACTCGGAACTGTAGATTCGTGCAAGAATGTTAGCACAAATCTACAGTTCCTTGCCCACTCTCCTTAACGTATGTAATTGAAAAACAATTGTACTTGTTGATTTGTTGGGAAGGGGGGGGGGGGGGCTCTTTTGAGCATTGGGAGAGGGGGTGGCAGGGGAAGGGGGCTAGCTTGGATTGTAAAAGGTTCACTTGCAAATTGATATCAATTGGGCAAAAACATGTAGCAATCAAATTCTGAATTTGGTGGCAAAGGAAGGGGGCGGGGCCTAGCAGGGTGGGGAGGACTGGACAAAATGGATTCACTTCACTCAGAGGACAATGAATAGGGCCATTATTATTCATTGCAGCTTGCAAACACATGATTTTTGGCGACGTGACAAAGCCAAGTTATTGGTGGGTGGTCACACCTCAACCCCAAGCAATGCCCGGGGGGGGGGGGGGGGGGGGGGGGGGGGGGGGGGGGGGGGGGGGGGAGGATGCTTTGTTATTTTCGACCATATTTTGAGCCACCCAAATCAGGGAAGACATTTAAAATTGTTCTTTTTTTTCAGGTGAATATCAATATTACATGCAGCAATAAATTGAAAACAAGAAAATTTAATGCAAAGTTCCAAGATTAGAGCTGTTCAAAATTTGAAAAAATGCATGTTTCGCTTTATGATCATTTTGGACCCCCCCCCCTAAAATTAAGGTGTGATGCATGATGGGTATTATTTTCTTATATTTCTTTTCTACTAGTTGTTCTCATGTACCAAAATTCAGCTTCCAAAATCAATTTCATTCTCAAGATATGGTCCTTAAAATCAGCGATTTATTCTATGGGCCAGTAAGATTACATATTTTTTGGGGGAGGCAAAGTTCATTGAACTTTGTGCTACCATAACACTGCAAAGAAAGCAATATGAGTTGTTGGTTTTGGACCTCATCTACATGTATAGCATCACTAAGAGAACCTTTCCACCAAGTTTGAATAAAATCTGTGTCATATGGCATGGCAATGCTTTCTAATAAAAGAAAAATATGTAGAAGAAAATTCTTTTACAAAATACTTATTGAAGAAAGCCTGTACTTTTAACTTTTTGCTTTGATTTTTTGCAGAAATAGCAGTTTTTATTCATAAATCAATCTTTGCTTTGTTTTCAACAGCAACCACCAAGTGGAAATCTTCATTTAGAGTGGGATTCTGTAAAGTCAGTGAAGCCATCATCAGAAACTCCATTTCACGACTATCAAAATGGGTCAGACTCTGGTTGGACGTATTCTCAGCCATCACCTAACATTTTAGGTGCTTCAAAACGGGACAAACAGGGATTTCCCATTGTCTTGGATGATTTTAGAATTGCAGTTTGCCGAGGAAACTTGCAGGAAGTGGAAGCTTTTCATTTAAGAGGTATTTCACCTTGAGGATCTTGAATAAGACATTTCTTTAAGTATCTGTAGATACACGTATGCAATTTATGCTTAGGGACATTTATAAATGAACAGAGAGACACCCATGGGCGGACACAACTTTGCATGTCCTCTGGTCATTGTGAGGTGAACACAAACACTTGGAAATGTAGCTTTACACGGGATAGCGGACACTTTTTACATAAAGCCACTTACCCCAAGACCAGTCGACTAGTCAAAATTATACAACACCTGAATAAATCCCAGTCATTTGATTGGTGGATCGTTGATCACATGTCATTGAATTATTCGTACCAACGCGTGTGTGGCGCGCAGCGCACAGTGCAGTGGAAGTTCTATTGCACTTTGAATAGAACTTCCATTGCACGGTGTCGCTGCTGCTGGTGGTGGCGCTGTTTTAAATCGAGATAAATTGAATATGATTGTTCTTAAACTGTCAAACAGTTTGTATTAATATAGATATGATGAACTTGTCGCACTTTTAAACAGTTTTTAACCTGAATAAATTGGCTATTAAAAGTCAACCAATCAGATGACAAGGATTTATTCAGGTGTTTTATAAAACAAATAATGAATGTTTCACGTTCGTGCAATGGTGCAATTCGGTGACAGATGTAATGTTCCATTCCACGAGGCGAAGCCGAGTGGAATGGAACATTTCATCTGTCACCTCATGAAATTATTCTTACACTCACAAACATTCATAATTTGTATACTAATAGCATTGTTCATTCAACCATTAAAACCATTGAGTGCTGGTGGTGCAATATGGTGGGACGTACGGTGTCACACACAGCTTTCACTTTCACATAGGTATGGAGTTAAATCCTTTTTTTTTTATTTTACGGATCAAGAAAAAACATTATCAGTCAGTTTTTGAAGATCGAATGACCATTATCCTTACATTATAAGGGCATCCGAGGTGAAGTTGTAAATAGGCTGCAAATGAACTTGGTCTCATTTGAAAACATGCAACATGGGAACTCTCATATGATCGTGATGTCAAAGGTCACATACTAAGGTCACACCTAGGACAAAGGGCATCTGAGGTCAAGTTGTGCAATAGGCTGAAAATATCAAATTGGATTAATTTGAAAAGTTGAAGTCCAATTGGAACCAAACTTGGGTCATAGATGCAACACGGGAACCTTCAAATAATAATAATAATGACCAAGGTCAAAGGTCAATCTTTAAAGATAATCGCGAAAGCAGATGAGACGTGCGGTTCGAGAACCAGCTTGTTCATGAATGGCATGAAGTGGCTGGTACTTGGCATAAATTGCGAATGTACATATTGTGGTAAATTCGTAAGGTCACTGTGATGAGTTAATGGTTTCTGCATGATAATTTCAGGTAAACATGATATTTGAGTTAATCGACAAACTTAGGCTGAGGGGTTTCAACAGCAATGCTGTTATTTGTGGATATGTTGAAAAATTGAAACGTGTGCACTTCGGAAATTTATTGCCGAATTGAAAACGTGTTCAATATGGTTTATTCAAAGTACTCTTGTAGTGTTTTCGAGGTTAGGCTGAAGTTACATCAGATTTTACGGGATGGCCCCAGATTGATTGTTGGCCTGTTTTACGGCCGTTTTCATTACGCGGTACTCGATGGTACTACGGGGTTATCACGAGTTGGCCACAAAGTGCTCACGGACTACACGTAGTACTCTCGAGCTGGCACCGTAGTTACCACTGACACCACGTAGTAGTCTCGAGCTGGCGCAAAGCCATCACGGGATGCAATCGGGATGGCCACGAGATGACGCAGGCGTGCAGTCTGTGAATTCTAGGAAATGGACATGAGCACGGGTTTGTCCGGTGGTGTTTCCGAGGTGGCCACGGATTACTCATGAAGTAAAAATGGGTACCACAAAATAAAAATGTGCTGGCATAAAAAAACGGACAAAAAACGGAGACCACGGACACTGTTGAAAAAAAATTGCATTTCCGAAGTGACCTTGAACTGGTTTTGGATTGGTGTGAGAGGGGCATCAATAAAATATAATACCTGATTATTAATTAACCCTGACCTTCCCAACTCCATCAAAATCCATTCCCCCATTTTTGGGGATTATGGTAGGAAAGCCATGAGTACCAAGTCCATCACAATTCACCGGATTTGTTCCTAAAGCAATTTAAATGTGAAGCTGGGTCAGTGATGGATTTTGGTGGACTTGGTCCAATACTTTAAGTAAGGGACTTACAGTCAAACAAATAAAAAGAAGAAAACTTGTACTTTTGTGAAAATGAAAAGACAAAAAAAAAGATGTAACACGTCTGAAATCTGCATTAAATGTTTCTGTAGTCCTGCGATTGCCTATCAAGCTATCTTTTTGTTTGGTTATCCCTGTGAATTTATTGTCTTATATTTGATGTAAAAACACGGATTGAAGACTCTACAATCCTTATTAGATAGCTTGGCCTCTGTGAAATCAATGGGGGGGGGGGGGGGGGGGGGGGGGGGGGGGGGGGGGGGTGTTCGTACCATACTTTCAATGGGGGCGCTGTTCCAATCCGACTATTATCAACATTATATTACAGCATAGTGTAGAAATAACCCTGTAACCCCAGCTGGCTCTGACAATATTCTGTGCACCTGGGAATATTATATGATTATCATAATTATTAGAAAGGTCATAAGGAATCCAAATTTAGATGACTACAACTTTTTGTGTCGGAACATTTTGAAGTGTGAGGACCTTTTGACCTGAAGTTGGACCTTGTGGATCATGTGACCTTGAGACAAACTTGGATGAAAATTTACCCTAACTTGTTTTCTACAAAATATGCAAACATTGGGAAAATAATATTTTTTGTTTTTGCTTTCTAGCTCATCTCAAAGTTGACATGCATGTTCCTGCTGGAAAAATGTGATATTCCATGTACATTTTTATGTACTATTTACATGTACCTTAATTTTTGCCTCCCCAATACCATCATGAAATACTAACAGCCGGTTTCTCAGCTACCATTTTATCTGCTTCATGCTCCAAATGAATGTTTGAATGTTGTAACACCAAGCCTTCGCATTTAGTAAACACATATTTTCTCAATTTCAATTCCTATTTAAATATGTTTACTCCTAGGAGTTGCAGTAGACACAACATTGCGAGCAGGATGGACAGCTCTAATGTACGCTGCTTTCTATGGACGAATTCAAATCTTGGAGTTTCTTTTGGAAAGAGGAGCTGATGTTAACTTTAATAAAGCATCATGTAAGCATAATGATAATAATAATGATATTAATAACCAAAAAATATACCATAATGGGAGACATTCCATTAGACTTGTGCAAAACAAAACTCTGACTTTTCTGACCCCTAACTCCTATTTTACCTTACTAATTGGACTACGAGCAATCCATCTAGCCTGTTTGTGATGGTAAAAATTTGCATCTAAAAAGGAACTGAGGCATTAAGGAGATATTGAAATGTCTCCATAATTCCACATGTCCCAAAGGTATAACTTCTGATGCTAAAGTGTCTCCCAAATATACAGTAACTGACACTGATACCCTCGGAGAGACATTTCCATGGACTTGTTCACAATTTTCTCCATCGTTAATGACACCAATCCTAAATTTACGTGATCCTACCCCCACAAATTTTGATATAATTTTGGTTTGGACTACAAGCATTCGATCTAGCCTGTTGGCCACATTAAAATTCTGCCTCTAAATAGGAGTTGTGGCATTAGGGAGACACTACAATGTCTTCCTAATGCATCCAAGTTGTCTTCCAAAGGGTACTTTTTACAGTGGTAATAATGATAATAATATATGCACGTTTTTCACCAGTTTTGTGCTGAAGGCGCTACATCAGGGAGCCGAGATTGAATTTATTATATCTGTGGGTGTTTATTGATTTGTTAAAAATATGTTTTTTATGTAAAATGTAGCCAAACCGCCGACTGAAGCACAATCTCGCTGATCATAATTAGCACTTCCTAACCAAACTGAACAGAACTAAATTGATCAGTTCAGTATGTTTGGAATTAGTCTGTGGGACGAGAGGCTGAAAACCACTTCAGTTTTCGAGACGGGCGATCTGGTTTGCAAACTTTATAAAACTTTTCAGACATTCAGAGTATGGTGTACTCTATCAAAAACATTTTGTTTGCTTGGGAATGAGAAAGTCTGGGATAAAAATGCCGAGAATTCTTCATGAGAAAACAACTTAAGAAACAGCGCCCTCTATTGACATAGCCAGAAACCCTTCACACGCAATGCTTGCAGGCTGTATGGTACTGTAGCGGGATCCTATTGGGCTCTTATCCACCAAGTCTAGTGAAACGCAAGAAAAGCTGCAGCCAGATGCTTTATACATGGGTCATGATGAGTTACCCAGAATGCCATGCCCACTTTCTTCACAAGATTCTGTGAAGCTCATCAGCGTGTCCCAGCGCCTTGTTTGCAGGGCGGGGGATACGAGCGAACGCAACTGGCAGTCCCGAACATCACAAGGGAGCCTCCCTAGCAACAGTATTTCTAGGCAACCAGGTTGGAATGTGACAATGGGCATGCACCTGTGGCTCAAATTCCAACATTATTGGCCATCACTCCAGTTGAGCTTCGGGTGTAAGGAACGTCCTATTCATGAAAAGCAACCAATGGTGTATTTATTTGCCAGGAACCCGTTTATTTAATTGGCTGAGATATTATCATCACTGTTCACCGGCAAAGAACCCTCCATTTTATAGTCCCTGGGATAGGGCCATTTAATCGCAAAATTTTATGATTAATCTTAATATTATTTTCTGTTGTCGGGTACCTTGGGACATCCGAAAATGCCGCTCTTAAGTTGCACAGCTGGTATTTTTGCCTTCCAGCTCCCAAAAACTGATATTGTGGTAGCTTATTTTTTGAGAATTGGCTAAAATCATATTTTGGGCCTGTGCTCTCTCAAAAATGGTCCCGTCGTGACCTGTTTGCACGTTTTACCATCCTGATAGGATGGGTAAACAAGAAAGAATATGGTTGGTCCTAAGTTTAGGCCAAAAAAAAAAGTCTCCGGTTTCTGGTATGGAGCTTGCCCCAAAAGTGGTGCGGCGACGCAGCTTTTTTTTTTTTTTTTTACCAGTTTTTTTTTTTTTTTTGGCTTCAAATGTCGGCTGATGACTGCAAATGGTGCCCGACTAAACTTAGTGCAAATATATGGGAGTCCAGAGAGGCCACATAAAGCTTATTCTCGATCATAACCCCATCTAAAAACACGTTAAAATTGTGCAGCAGCAGGATTCCAGTCAAACCAGTGAGTTTGGCGGTTTTGAGACATCATCTTGTATTGAAAAAAAAACTTTTTCATTTTGCCGACGCGCATGGCTGCGGTGACGCGCGCGCATACCAGAAACCGGAGACTTTTTTTTTTGGCCTTATCCGTATTCGTGTTCCTAGGGCATATATTGCTTTGCGGACACCTCCCAAATCCTTTGACTTTGCCCTGTTTGGGGACAGAAATGAAATTGAAACTCACACTTTTTTTAAAGATACACACTTTTTTTATAATTTAAAAACTGCCTCAGACCACAAGCTTTAATTTAAGTGGTAGAGAAGCTTTCTGTCTTGAAAATTGGGCTCGCCATGGCCATTTTTGCTTCCCCTACCCCTAAATTACTCAAATCAAAACAACTGTATAGTGGGTGGCATAGCAAACCTATTGTGCATATTATAACAGTGCCAAATGTGGTACAAAAATAGACCAATATCATATCAACAAATGTGGATATTGGATCATCGCAGATCTGGCCCTTGAGGGCTGTGGGAGCCATCATTTTAAAAATGCTGAGTCATGCTGAGTCAGCACTATTTTGTAATGCGTTTTCTCGTTCAATATGGAGGCTAACATATTTTTCTGCCTTTTTTCTACACACTTGGATGCGAGACAGGCATAAACAATTTGTTTTTCTTTCAATACCTCATTGAAAAAACTTAGTAATGCCTGCCAGCTGATGTCAGGCCTGGCTACACCTACAAGAATTGTACTGCACTGTAATGTAGAATACAGTTGTATATACAGACCTACACAAATTAAGTTGAGAATCAAGTTCTGACTCGCCAAAAATGACGTCCTGGCAATGTTTAGGACCTTCCACTATCATGGCAGGAATGGGTCTGGCAAAAACCTTGTCCCACAAATAATTGATTTTAATCAACTGATTTTAGTAACATAAAATGCTGAATCAGCATTTTAAAAAATGTTTCAAGCTTTGGTGAAAAAAAACCAAATCTAGATCACTTTCATCAAGTTCAAAGTATCGGTATACAGACATGCTTGTAAAATGCAGTGATGGTGATTTCTTGTTATTTATGGGGTGTCGAGGGACAAGCTGGTTAAAAGTTGGATGGGTGGGCGTGGGGGGGGGGGTTTGGACTAAGAACAATATCTATGCAAATTCCTAATATGTTGCATTTGTTGTCTATTATGTGGAAATAAGTGAAAACATGTCATGGGAACACCATTTAGGGAAAACTTGTGGAGCACATTTGCTAAAAGAAAAGGCCTATATGCACTGGGATAATATTTTTCAGGGGGGGGGGGGGCAGAACATGAACCCACCTTCCCCCACGATCCTCCCTCCCCCGGGGCCAGAACATGAACCTGCCTTCCCCCACAATCCTCCCTCCCCCGGGGCCATGCCCCACTTTACCGACCGTGTCCAATCTGTCCACAGAAAAATGGATTGGTTTGTACATGTACAGTGTATGTTATTAATTACACATTTTTAGTGCAGCCCGGGCATGTCGGTCAGTGACAGGTCCAACTTAACAAAGTCTAACAGCTACAGAGACATTTTGAAATTGCTTCCACACAACAAAAATAAGTAAAAACGAATAAAACCAATGAATTATGACATTTCTGTTGGTTTGGGAAAAAAGGATGACAAAATGTGGCATAGTAGTGGGCCCCTGCAAACTGACCTCCCCCAACGGTGGGGTGGGGGGGGGGGGAGGAGGGGGAACTGGGCCATGCCCCCCCCCTTTGTTTTTAGTTACGGCAGCTATTGCGTACACCACCCACAAAACTCAACAAAAACAATAAATCTGTACCCCCTCCCCTTGCTTTCCATATTAAACACAATTTGGTTTTTTTTGTGGGGGGGAATTTAGAAAAAAATGTTTTCAAAAATTTCTGCCCCAAATTTAATATGAAAAGCATGGGGAGGGGGTGCACATTTATTGTTTTTGTTGAGTTTTGTGGGTGGTCTATGCAATAGCTGCCTTTTTAGCAACGTAACTAAAAAGAAAGAGGGGCATGGCCCTGTTAAACCCCCCCCCCCCCCGCCCCTCCCCCCGCCCCTCCCCCTTTAATCCGCCGTTGGGGGAGGTCAGTTTGCGGGGCTCAACCCCACTTTGCTACTTTTTATCATCCATTTGTCCCAAACCAACCAAATGTCATATCTCTAATTCATTGATTTCATTTGCTTATTTTGTTGTGAGGAAGCAATTTCTAAAAGTTTCTGTAGCTATAAGACTTTGTTAAGTTGGACCCGTATGACCAACATGCCTGGGCTGCACTAAAAACGTGTAATTAATGAAATACAAGTATAAACAAATTCACTTTCTATGGACAGATTGGACACGATCGGGAATGTGGGGCATGGCCCGGGGGAGGGAGGATTGTGTGGGGGGGGGGGGGGAGGCGGGTTCGTGCCCCCCCCTGAAAAAAATTATCCCAGTACCGTATAGGCCTATTCCTTTTAGCAAATGTACATTGTACCTAAATGTGCTATGTAAGTTTTCCCCAAATGGTGTTCTCATGACATATTTCCACCCATTTGCACATAAAAGACTACAAATGCGCAACTCAGCAACTGCTGAACTGATTAATAATCACTTCGCTACCATCTGCAATCAACTCCCCACCCTTAATACTGTCAATATCCCCACTTATCTGCCAGCAGAGTCACCACCACCAACAGTTTACCGCTGTCAAACACTCAAGCTTTTAGGCCCCCCCCCCAAAAAAAAGTCTCCAGTTTCTGGTATGGAGCTTGCCCAAAAAGTGGTGTGGCGACGCGGCTTTTTTTTTTTTTTTTACCTTTTTTTTTTTTTGCTTCAAATGTCGGCCGATGACTGCAAATGGTGCTTATTCTCAATCATAACCCCATCTAAAAATACGTTAAAATTGTGCAGCAGCAGGATTCCAGTCAAACGAGTGAGTTTGGCGGTTCTGAGACAACATCTTTCATTGAAAAAAAAACTTTTTCATTTTGCCGA